AATATAAGGAATTCATGTTATTTTTTATACTGTTTAAAGTGCAAATAGAAAAGATTTAGAACTAAAATTTTATTTTCTGTTGCAAGTTAAAAACTTTGGTTATAATTGATTTTTATATTTTTGATTTCATATATTCTAATAAAACTTAGGTTGATTTTATACATCAAATCTTACTATATTATCAAAAATTATAGAGAGAATATCGATATTTTAATAGTTTATCCTTTTTTAAGTGATAATAATCAAGTAAATCCTTCTATATAAATTAACAAATATTATTATGGCTAAGAATCCTTAGATTATATATTATATAATTTTTTGAAATTAGAGAGTAGTATATTTTACTTTTTGATAATTTAATTATAAAATTATAAATCATACTGCCATATAGTAATTATTTAGTTTATAAAGATGTTAATTTTTAGCTGATTTGATCAAATATCTACTTCAATGTATAAAGGACTTTTTGGAAATTTGGGAGAAATTAAGGTTACATTTTTTGATTCTCTAAGGACTGAACCTCTGATTAAAAATAATACATAATACTCTGTGCGAAGTTGAGTGGTGCCATTTTTGCTTTGAGATCTTGATTTATATAATGAAGTATTGTTGGATCTATTTTCATTAACTGATGGCTATTTTTTGGGTTTGAATAATCTTATTAATAATGTTTTGCTGGTCTTAAGCATAGTACGTTCTGTTTCCATTAATTTATTACGTATAGGTTGCATAGATTATATATTCCAATATTTCTTAGAGAAAATAATGAATCATCATCTGAAAATCATTGCCTTTTCGTTCAAATACATAAGTATAGTTTCGACTACTTGAACTCGATTGTTTATAATCTCACAAGCTCTTCAGACATAATATATCGTTAGACTTTTAATTAAATTAATATCAAAAACGAGTAAAGATATAGATATCATTTTTATAAATAAGAAGTAAAATAAGAATAATTATAGAGAGTATAAGTATTAGTTAATATAATTAGTATATTATATTATCATATGTTGATATGTATTAAGTAATAAGAATATATTTTATTATTAATGAAGTTTTAATTAGAAATAGATGGTGTTAGTATTATAATTATTATTTGTATTAAATATAAGAATATATAGATGAATGATATTTTAAATAATAAATTAAAAGCGGATATTGAATTAATTAACATAATAACATAATAAAATTATTAATACATAATTGAATGCTATTTAATTATACAAAAATATGTGTACATATTTATATAAGTTATCAAATATTTCCATACTTTTAGGCTAATAAAATATTAATAATTAGTTTGACCAATTATTTTAATGAAAATAATAGTAATTGCAAAAAGAAGAAGCATTTCAAAAATAGCTTAAATAAACACTTCCAACTATAATTAATAGAGTGACTAAAGATATAGGATAAATACTTTAGTTTGAGAAATTATTTAAAGATGCAAAACCAAATTCAGTTTAAGAATTATCTTTTTAAAGTCATCTTAGATTAGATCCCCCTATAGCAAGATAATAACCATAATTAGATGAGCCAATATAAAATATTAACGAATTAATACGTCAATATTTTTAATAGGAAAAAGAGAAATTATAAGAATTGGCTTTATTAGAAATAGAAGAGAATTGGAAGAATTATAAGTAAGTTAAGAGAGTATATAAATATAAAAAGGATCGATAGAATTAGAATAATAAAAAAGTATGGAAATAGAGAAATAGAATGTGGAAGAAGAATGTAATGCAATAAAAAAGAAATATTAGAGATAAATTTAAACACCAAATTGTGATTAATGTTTTTGTGGAAATTAATTACATTATAAATAAATAGTAAAATGTATTTTATGTGAAAAACATTATCATGTAAATTGTTTAGATAAAAGTTATGATGAAAGATATGTTAAAAATTTTACATGTCCAAGATGTACTTTATATAATATGGATTAATATTGTGAAGTCCTTTCAGTTATTATAAAACCATTTTCATTTAAAAAAAAAACAGGTTTAACAAGTACAAAAACAATTAATTTTAAATCAGAATCCAATAAAATTGATATAAGATGTATTAGAATGGATTGTCCTTTATCAGCAGAAGAAATTACATAGCCAGAATATAGGTGAATTACATATTAATAATAATAAAAAAGTTGCTGAATTTATACCATTAGCATAATAAAGTTATTAACATAAATGTAAAGATGAAAAATTAATATTTACAATTCCATAAAATGAAGAATGTACTTTAATGATAAAAGAGATTATTTCTGGTATGGAATAAAAAAAAAATATAGAATTTAAGGTGAATAATTACATTATATTGCTGTATATAAAATTAAATAGTATACTGCAAAATAACTTATAGAAAAGATTATTTAATCTGATAAAAATTGTATTAGTGTAGAATAAGCTTTAGATTTTATTATACTTCAAATAAATTATATATCATCTACTGATATTAAATAAATTAAGTAAACTATTTCTTTATTGTGTTGTTTAAGTTCTACTTTAATTATTACTCCTGCAAGTGGAATCTATTGTAATCATATATAATGTTTCTCACTTGAAAATTATTTAATGATGCTTGAATTTTCTAATCCAAGAAAATGGAGATGTCCAAAATGTAAAGCTAAATTATTTAAATTACAAATTATGCCTTGTAGTATACAATCTTTTAGACTATTAGAGAATATAATTTTTAAGAAAAATATACAGAAATATCATTTGATCATATGGGATATGTTTTAGATGATCTAATATAAAAATATTTAGATATTAATAATTTACCAGAACATGCAAAAATTAGTAAAAATAGAATATTACAATTAGAAGCTTTAGGTAATTATGAAAATTAAACTGAAAATGAAAATGAAATCAATGAATCTAAATAATAAATTAATAGACCTCTTAATCCTAACTCAATTGTTAGAGAATGAATATTCAATTATAATTGTAAGATAAATTATTAATATAATATAATAATCAAAATAAAAATATCAAAACAATTCTCCTTTTTATTCAAAATAAATATATTTACTTTTTGAAGTCTATGAGTATATGTTTATAAATCTAAAATTCTGTATTGAATTAATTTAAACTATTTAAAAGAATTTCATTTAAATATTATATATTTAATAATAGTAATTAAAATACTAAATTATCTTAAAATTTATACTTCTACACTTCACAATCAGTAAAATATGCCAACACTAATGCATCTGCACTTTATCCAAACATATCCATAAATAATGTAGCTATTGATAATGTAATAAATGCAATAATTGCAAATGTATATAATTAAAGTATGAAATCTGTCTATTCTTTAACATAAATGAATGTTCCCAATGTTGTTACTAGAAATATAAACACTTTGCTATAATTAGTAAATTGTTCTCCCAATCCTGAAAGAGTTTCAATATCTTAATTATTTCTTATTATTGTAAAATGAACAGCTTTGCTTGATTCAAAATAATCTGCTTATGTCATTACAATATAAACAAAGCATAATTATTTATATACTTAATGAAATTCTCGAATACAATACAAGCATAAAGAAAATGACGCAAAACAATTCAAAATAATATTATGCCTTTTTAATCTACATCTATTAAGGGAATCCTATTATCAATTATATATTTTACATATATTTTATTGAATAATTTTGATATACCACTAAAAAAGAAACTATAAATTGCTTCAGCTATAATAGTATAATAATTACAATATGATACTTTATATCAAAGTAAAGCAGTTGAAGCATTTAAAAATCTGGCTAAGGATAATATATATTGAATTAACCAAATTAAACCAAGTACAGAAATCATCGATTTAATTAAAGTATCAAATTTGAGTTA